GATGATGCGCAACTCCTCCCTGGCGTCTGGGGACAGCCACTTGTAAGCGAAGGCGCCCATCTGCTCGACGCCCTTCGCCTTGCTGTTCGCCATCGTGTCGATGGCGACGTTGAGGTTCTCGATGGTGATGGGCGCCCAGTCCTCCTCCATCGCCGCCTCGCGAGACTGCTCCAAGCGCTGCAGGATGGCCTGCGCGCTGAAGCTGCTCTTCCACTTCTTGCTCCACATCGCGCCCTTCGCGTCCATATACTCCACCATGTCCGAGGCGGTGACGCCCTGACTGCGCACCTCATTGTCGCACCTCGGCTTGTCCTTCGTCTTGCGGCGCAACTTGCCGCTGCCCGCCGCTTCCTGTTCCTGCACCCAATTCGTGTAGGCCAGCAAAGCTTCGCCAACCTCCGTGCGCTTGCCCTTCCTTGCAATGGTTAGCGCAGCGACGCCGAGATGCTTAACTTGCACATTGGACATGCTGTGTATGCCGCTGAGCGCAACTCGCCACTTCCTCTTCTGCTTCGCCGTCATCTTGATGATGCCGCCGCTAGGCGTCGTGCTGCTGAGAGCCCTGCAGTCATCACGAAGCCGCTGCGATCGCTGCCCCTTGCCCTCGCAGCGCTGCAGCTCGACCAGGTATGACGCCAACGTGCCCCACCACCTGATTGACTGGTCCAGGTCGGCGCTGACGCCGACGCCGAGCTTGGCCTTGCCCTCCTTAAACCTGACCTCCTCGCCGCGCCCGAGGTAGATGCTGCGATCCTCGGCCTTGATCTGCAGGGGCGCCATGTAGTGCTGCTCCACAGCGTGCACCCAGGCGCCGTACTGTGCCCCCAGCTCGCGCGCCCCCTCCTCGTCGAAGGTGCATGCGAGCGTCTGTTTCACGTACTGCGCTGGTTGCCTCCAAGCGATGCGGTCCTCGGCGGCCGCCATGCGGTACTTCTCCTGCCACAAGAGGTTGCGCTCTGGCAGCAGCAAGTACAATTTCTTTATGGCTGCCACCGGGGATCTTATCTTTATACTTGTCGAGCGTATCTACCATGAAGTATGTGAGCCATTTTGATTCCTGCGCCTTCTGTGGAAGTGATGGCGCGGCCTTTGTCCCGATCATCCCAGGCGTTAGGTCCCCTATTCTTGCGATGTTTTTTGTAGGGCGTGCTCTCTTCTGGTCCTCGTACTACTTGTCTAGCTCTACGCGAAAGAATTGCCAGCTCAACCGCACTCTGTCGTCTTGCAAAGCTGCATTTACTTTGAGAACGTTACAAGTGATCAGCAACCATAATACGTGCGCACTCCATGCCTGGAAAACCCCGAGGTGCATGCAATGTAGTTCGTCGATGCTGAAACTATGTATTCCTGTTCCGATCAAAGGATCCAGGAGCGGGTTCCCGTGGTAAGTACGCTCATCTTTGGAAGGCCGCCAGAACTTGACAAGTGCTGGGAACTTTGTTATATGATCGAGCATGTTTGCATCTAGCATGCTTGGTGTCGGTTCGAGCCTGTCGCTCTTCAAAAGCGGCGTTTGGTTTGGGAGCGCGAGCGGGACCGTCAAGGAACGTCCCCGATCGGAATGTTTACGTTGAAGCCTGAACGAACTTTTCGGAGCTGCTCAATGTTTTCGATTACAACATATATTTCATGCTTTGAGCACTCCGCATCGTAGGATTCTTCGGTGTCTTCAGGGTTGGGCCCCATCGGCTGCCGGATATCATGTGTATGGATTTGCTCTGCCGACTGCCTGCACATTAAACAGGGTGCGCGGCCATGGTGATGCGCAGGAAATCCCATGCCAGTGCTCATCTCTGGCCAGTCTGCCTTGAAGTCCACCACGACTGCTTTGAAACCCAAGGCCTCCCTGGTGAACCCCTGCTGCTTGCTTTTACGCATGCCCCCGTGCATGCTGCTTCCCAATGCAACCCGCCTCCTCCTTGCCATGCTCTCATGCCCCACCCGCATGTGTCCGTCCCGCTGCCCCTCGCCCGTCTTGCCGGACAGCTCATCGAAACCCATTGTGAGTTCATTGGGTGTTCATTGGGGTGGTCATTTGGGGATTGGTCGTTTATACAGGCGCCCCGCGTTCCGTCTCCTCGTCGTCCTCGTCCTCATCATTGTCCTCCTCCATCCTCCTCCGCCCCGTCCTCACCCCTCCCATTCCCCTCATCCTCGTTCGATCAGCTGTCCGTCTGACCTCCGCCCAGCTGCGATGCAAGACAGCGCTCGTGCCGTTCAGCCGCTCTCGATCTTGCGATGCTCATCTGCGCAACGATGCAATGGCAAGCTCATGTGATGCGCAAGTGCCCCGCCACTACAGAGCGATCGTTTCTATCGTACGTAATTGTCGGGGAAACAGAAAGAGGATCGGGGGGACGCATGGGGGATAAGGTCGAGGGGGCAGGCTGGAAGGGGTGGGGAGGGCGCGCGGCCAGGGGGATAGGAAGGGGCGGGATAGGTCCTTCCTCCGTCCGCCTCCTCCTCCCCCTCCTCCTCTTCCTCCTCCTCGCCGTCATCACCTGCACCGTCATCCACAATCATCGTCTCATCAGTGGGCGTGTCGCATGCGAGAATTCAATAGAAACGACCACTCTGAACCCCGCTTCCCGACCCCGCAAGCCTTCCCCGCCAGGGCAGCTCGCTCTTGATCATTTTCACGCCAAGGTTCTTTATCATGGCGGGTCTCTGGATAAGTACCATCAGCAAGACATTTCAATGACCAGTATATAAATTGATATATTGGGTACACGGAGCACCAATGGCTGCACCCACAGTTGCAGAGATCTGACGTTCTCAGGCACGCAATCATGTGCCTCCTACCCGTCGGAAGTAAATGCACAAACATCCCCAAGAAGCTGTCCTTTTTGTTGAAAGCAACCTTGTCCATGTAAAGGGCGATGGGTAGAATTGTGCGTTTGTCATCGGCTGAGGCCCCCCTGACGAGACCGTGTTCCTCCCACTCCTTAATCCAGGGTTCCGTGGCAAGCTTTGACTGCCACTGCTCCAAAATCTCGGGATGCGCTTCAAGCTCGGCCGCAAGTGCTTCGTGCGGCGGTGTGACGTGGAATGACAACGACGTTATCTCAGGATCATTGCGGTCATGCCCTGGAGCATCCACATTATACAGCCTGGCGTCAAAGCGCTCCAGATTCAATGCTTTATCTATTTTACGCTGGTGGTTGCGACCTTTGGACTCTGGGTTGACCGCATATGGCTTTGCTTCTAGCAGGCCGCCTTTCCAGGCGTAATGGCAGAGGACGCTCATGTGACGAGCATTCATTGGCTTCCCAAGGAGGTACATTTCGATCAGTTCGTTGACGAACGACATCCCAGCTTCTGGGTCGCGAGGCTCATCGGAATCGCACTCGCTATCGGTCTCCTCGTCCCAAGGGCGCGGCGATGGCTCCGCAGGACCTTTCCGTTTGCGGCCTCGGGTCTCTGGATGCCGAGGGGGTGGCGGAGGTACATGGCCAGGCTCCATGAGCGCGGATGGGAATGCGATCGGTCTCGGGCCAAAGATCTCGCTGGACGGCGATGGCAGGCGCTGCTATTCATGTGGGGCGCCAGCGTTAATGCCGCATCTTACCAGGATCGGTGCTTCATACGAGCGATCATGTCATCTGCCATCACACTCATGCATCATTATCTCGTCTCATCCATCTTCATCATACTCATATCCGCCCTCGCTCGTATTCAGCATCCTCATCCTCATCACCACATGATCCCTCCTCATCCCCTCCTCCCTCCTTCTCCCCCAATGCATTCTCGCCTCCGAGCGCGAGCAAAGGGCGGGGGTCGCTAACTGTTTCTGTCGAGCACAGCGTCGCCGCGCCCATCTCGTTTCCAGGTGCCTCGTGCCAGCCCAATCGGGCTGGAATCAAAAGAACCCGCTGCCGCCCACGATTTAAACTGCCGCCGTGCGCTGAGAGCCCCCATGTTCCTGCTTGCGCGCGGGCTCAACTCCCCCCCTCTCCCATCGCCTTCCGCATTCCCACCTCGGCCCTTCTCAGCAGGAGCGCTCTCGATGCAACGACGGGCTCGCGTTGGCCAGCGGCAGCGGGCGGGGCAAAGAAGGGGTGGCATGCCAGAATCGCTGAGCTATCTTCACCTGTGAGGGCCCATCGCCTCCTCTGAGGCGACCCCAGTTGAATTTCTGAGCTGCGGAGCCCCCGGGGGGCTCATCGGGGGGCGGTCCTGGGGGCTCATCGGGGCTCATCGGGTGACTCATCGGGTCATCGGGGCGCTGACCGGGCGCGATGAGGTGCACTTTAGCTGTGAAAACACAGGGTTTGGTGAGGCTCATCGGGTAGCTCATCGGGGGGGCGCTCATCGGGTGACTCATCGGGTGCTCCCCCTCGGGAAATCGCAAAAATCGATGAGGGAGCCCACGGAAATGGCCTCGCAGGACCTGGCGGGCCTGATACCCCAAGCGGGAGGAGGTCGGAGGGGAGGAGCGGGAGAAGCACGAGGTGAATGGGCCCGAGGAGGAGGAAAAGGAGGAATAGGAGGGGGAGAAGAGCAGAAGGAGGAGGAGGGCGAGGAGGATGGGGGCTATCCAACCGATCCCTCATTGCTCAGCGCGTTCTGGCCTTGCCCGCAGCTGCTGCTAACCCTGCAGCCTGAACCCGCGCCGCGCTGCCCCCTCGCGCCCTTCCCCACAGAGAGACGCTTAGACCTGAGTAGCGTGCTTCTTCTCCAGCGCGTGGCTCTGCATCACTTTCGCGTGCCAGGACTTCAGGTTGGCGATGGGCGTCTTCATCCTGCCCCCAATCTCTCTCTATCTCTCTTCATCTCTCCCTCTCTCCCTGTCTCAGCGGGGCGAGGTAGTGGAGAAGAGGGAGGGCGCGAGCTGGAGGATGAGGAACGGTGCAGCAGGAGGGGGGAGGAGGAGGAGGAGGAGGAGGAGGAGGAGGAGGCCAATCTTTGTTGCGCACGCTACACCACTGCAGCCACGGACCCATTACAGCATGACAACACGCACACACACTCAAACACAGCATGCTGCCCCACAATGCCACCCCTGCGGTCTTCGTCACGATCTGATTGAAGTCCCTGACAATGTCGGCGTCGGCGTAGTCCTTCTTGATCATCTTCATCTCCTCGCTCATCATGCGGTTGAAGAGGTCCGTGCGGCTGTCGGCAACGGCCTTCTCCACGGCACCGAGGTCGTCCATGTTCTTCTTGTGGTCCTTGAGCCACTTCCACTCGGGCATCGCAGCCATGCAGTGCTTGATGGTGTCCACCGACTGCGTGAGCTGCTGGAACTGCGACAGCATCTTCTTGGCGGCCTGCTCAGCCGTCGCCACCTTCTTCTTGGCCTCCTTCGCGGCGGCCTGCTCTGGCGTGATCTCCGCGTGGGAGTCGGCACCGTCAGTGACGGCCCTCCCCCGCCGCCCCCTCTTGGCGTTGGGCTGCTCGGCCCCGCCCTCTTCAGGAGCCTCCCTCTTCGTCGCGGCAGCGGCCTGATCCTCGGGGAGCTGGGGGCGGATGGCTGCGCCAGCAGCTGGCGCAGCAGCCGCGGCGCTGGAGGCTGTGTCGGAAGCCGCCGCGGCGGGCTCGGCGCCCTCATCGCCTTTCTCCTCGTTCTCGATGTGCTCGGACCAGCTCCTCTCCATCACCTCGCGGCGCTGGAGCGAGACGTAGAAGAACTTCACGCGCTGCGTGAGCGAGCAGTACGTCAGCCACTCGCCGCCCATGGCGATGCACGCCTCGCAGTACCGCCGCGCGGCGATCGCGTTCTCCTCGTCGTGGTGACCGCCCTCCTCCTGGCGGCATCGTCGTCGTCCTCCTCCTCCTCCTCCTCCTCCTCCTCCTCCTCCCCAGTCCTCCCCTCCTCTCCCTCCTACTATTCCTCCTCCTCCTCCCCCTCCTCCTCCTCCCCCTCGGTCCACGACGATGCGGGAGAACGAGAAGTAGGTCCCGACGCTCTCGTCCACCATCTTGTACGCGCGCTTGTGGATGTACTTGCGCTTGAGCTCCGTCAGCTTCCTCTGAGCCCACTCGGTCCTGTAGTCGCGGCGGTCGTCTGCTGCCTTCGCATCCCAGTCCTCAGCGAACTTCGGATCCTGCTTGATCTTCTGCGCCAGCCACCTGCCAAACTGCTGGTAGACGTTGCTCCTCGCCTTGATGCCTTCCTTAATCCCAATCTGCAGCTGCTCGATCTGGGCCAAGACCTCAGCGGGGACGTTCTTCATGTTGCCCTGCGCCTCGGACAGGGTGCGCTTCGCCGCGATCTCGTCGAGCCTCGACCCCAAGCTCTTCGCGGTCCCTGGCGCGAGGACGAGCTCTGAGTCCCCCCTCGGGAGCGGCGGGAGCCCGCCCACTGCCGCCCTGCCCTCGCGGGGGGGACGGGCGACATATTATGCCAAACTCTCCGCGTCGAGAAGGGCTCCGTCCTCCTTTTGGGCCACCGCGTCGAGAAGGTTCAGGATCGCCTGGGCACTGAGCATGTCCCCCTGCTGCCCCTTGAACTGCTGCTCAAGGAGCGTCTTGAGGACGGCCCCACCGCAGCGGCTGCTCCATTCGCTCATCTTCATCTGGCACTGCACGCTGGACGCGAGCAGCTTCCTCGCCGCCTCCACCTGGACTCGGATCTTCTCGTCCATGAAGTTCACTGGTGCCGATGTCGGCTTGACTGACTGGGCGCGCGTCGCCGCCGCAGCTGACGGGCCTGGCGGCGCGTCCTCAGCCAACGGGGCTGGCGGCGCGCCCGCGGCAGTCCCATCCTCCTGGACCTGGTGCGGCACAAACTCGCCAGCGTCGATCTCGGGCTGCTGTTGCGGTGGCCTCGCCATGGCCTTAGACCTGGCCCCCAAGCCGAGCATGCCGCGACGCTCCAAGCGTGACTGCAAGGACTGCAACCCTCCGCCCATAGAAGTCCCCGTCATGAGCTCCTCAGCCGCCCCCGTCGCGGAGCGCTCCATGTCCCTGGCCAATTGCACCTCGTCGCCAGCAGGGACCGTGGCCTCGACCTCGTTCTCCGACGCCGACGCTGTCGGGCTCCTCAGCTCTGCGTCAGCGTCCTCGCCGCCCATGCCCACCTGGCCCTCCATGGCCTGGCTGGCGGCGACCTCGCCCACCTCGCCCTCCATGGCCTGGCTGGCGGCGACCTCGCCCACCTCGCCCTCCATGGCCTGGCTGGCGGCGCCCTCGTCCATGGCCTGGCTGGCGGCGACCTCGTCCATGGCCTGGCTGGCGGCGACCTCGTCCACCTCGCCCTCCATGGCCTGGCTGGCGGCGCCCTCGTCCATCTGGGCCTCCTCGGCCTGGCTGGCGGCGACCTCGTCCACCTCGCCCTCCATGGCCTGGCCGTCTGGCCCGTAGCGGCGGCCGTCCTCGTCGACCTCCATGGCCTGAAAGAGGCCGTCCTCGTCCTGGCGGGCGTGGCGGGCCCTCTCCTCGTTCGCGATGAGAACTTAGGCGCAAGCGATGCCCTGCAGCCTAATCTCGCCCCCGACCGTCCTCTCCAGCCAGTCCGCGCGCTGAGCCCGCAGTTCGCGCTCGATCATCTCAGGCACCGCGCTCGAGTCCTCCGCGGACAGCCCCCGCTCCTGGCGGCGGAGGGCGGGGATGCGGACTAGGGGCTGGGACTGAATACGACCTCAATGCAAGCCGTGCACAATGAGGTGTCCAATGGAACCCCAATGAGCTTCCAGTGACCCCAGATGAGCTGCCTAAGCCTGGCTCGCAGAGAGCGCCCTGGACAGCTGCCTGGAAAAGAAAAGGATCGGGCTGGAAGGTGAGGAGGCCCCAGGTGCACGAGGGGGGAGATGGGGCGAAGGGTAAAGGGAGGCAGGAGAGCGAGGATGGCAAGGCCTTTCTCCCCCCATCCTTTCCGCCTCCCCCGCTCTCTCCCTGCGCTCCTCCCATCCCGATTTGTCGAAGAGATCCTTGTCGCACATCTGGCACTTATTCAGGGCCATCATGTTCGTGCCCCCGCAGAAGATACAGCCCCAAGTATAGGGGCCATCCTCAGATGGGCGGCAGAAGAGCGAGGGGGCAATAGGAGGGCCAGGGAGGGGTCATGGGGAAGGGCGGCCACCACCGAGACTCGGACCGAGGCAGGGCACTACGAATGATGAGGGGGCGAGAGAGCGGTCGAGAAAACTGAAACGAAGGCGGGGGCTCAGAGGGACATTTGCGTCTGCGTAACAGTCCTCTCTCTGGGTGGGAGTATCGCGCCTCTGCGCGGCCATATCGTGCGAGAGGACGGGCGACTCGGGCGCGCGAGTGGGCGCAAGCGCAGGCGCGGCGTCGTCGTCGTCGGTGTCGAACTCAATGAGCCCCGCCGAGCCGCTCGCGCCAGCCGAGCCGCTCGCGCCAGCCGAGCCGCTCGCGCCAGCCGAGCCGCTCGCGCCAGCCGGGTCGCGGCTCTCGCTCTGCGCGATCAGACGGGCGAGGGCCTCGGGGTTGTCGAATAGGAAGGCGTCGACATAGTCCCCGCTCTGGAACTTCTTGGCACTGCTGGGGCCCCATCAACGGCGACAGAATCTGGCCCTGCTTCCCCAACTTGTGAGAAGCCCCAGAGAACGGTTTGAAGTCCCCCTCCCGCAAGCTGCGGCTAGGCCCCGAGAACGGGGCGCACCGATCGCTCGCGTCTTCCATGGCACCGCAGGCGCCGCAACTTGGGGGGTCTGCAGCGCACCCGCGCTGAGTCTCTCAAGTGGTTCCTCGAGCCCGAATTTCGAAGAACACCGAGCGAGGGGGAGATGGAGGACCTCAGCCCCCCCCTTCTCCTGGCGGAAGACCTAAGTGTTTTGGGCGACCCCAGTGCACGCCGTGCGCAATGAGGTGCCCAATGAAACCCCAATGAGCTCCCAATGACCCCAGATGAGCTGCCTAAACCTGTCTGGGCTCTCAGAGGGCGCCCCGGACAGCTGCCCGGACACGAGGGGCTGTCAAATTGTGGATCTCGCCTTAGCACCGAAAACCTTGCGCAGCTAGAAGGATGGAGGGCATGATGTTTCCACAATGCGGTTCTCGCCCCAACCCTTGGGCGGCCACCGTGCACCCCCTACGGGACCATGTCCGAAACCGTGAGATTGCCTCGCAATTTACTCAGCGGGGAACGCTACCCACACACACACACACACACGCACACTCACTCACACACACACACACACACACACACACACACACACACACACAGGGACCCAGGAAAGCGAGGCCCCCTGGGCACAAGGCAGGGGGGAGGCAGGAGGAGGAGGAGGAGGCGGAGGAGGAGGAGGAGGAGGAGGAGCAATAGCAAGCCTGAGAGGAGAGCGACTGCCTGCCTCCAGCATCTCTGCCTACGAGCGACACCTGACCAGGACCAGGCCAGCACCTAGGGTCTACGAAGGCTCCAGGATCGGGTACCCTCCCAAGAAGAACCAAAGGCACGCCACCCCCAAAGCGAGCACTGCGGGCCTCCAAAGGTACCTAGTGATGCCCGCCCCCTCAGCGAGCCAGGCCGTAAGACCTATCCCTGCAGCGGCGCGTGGGTGCTCTCCCTGCAGGGTGGCTCGCCAGGGTGGGCCAAGGAGCCCAACCTGTCAGAACGCCTCAGGAGAAGCGCAGCGAGGGGGGGGGGGATGTGAAGCGGAGCAAGCATTTAGCAGGAGCGTGCGAGCGGATCCACGGGCGGCACGGCGGCCCGTGGGGCCAGCGGCGGGCACGTAGCCCGCCACGACGTGGAACGGCTCCAAGAAGGCTCTCAGCGCCACCACAAGGAACGGCTTCCGCACGTGGCGCAGCGAGCCGAAAAGGTAAAAGAAGCCCCGGTGGCAATCCTCGGCGACAAAGGGGCCGAACCACAGGTGATTCAGCAGGACGTCGAGATAATCAGAAATCCGCGCGCCAGACCGCAGGGAATATGGCACTCAACCCGCTCGGCAGCAGCATCCTGACCTCAGCAGGAGCGCCCGACGCACGGTGGCTACAGAGGTTGACGAGTCCCCAGCGGACAAGTCGGGCCTCCCGACACCACGTGCTATGGACCCACCTGCAGGTGCCCAGCACGTCTGCCGAGCGTGAGACCTTATACCTGCTCAGTGGTCTGGCAATTTGTAGTCAGACTAAGGGCTCCTAACTTCGTCTTTGCGCTCCGCGAAGCGCGAAGCGCGACTAACTTCTCGCCCTCGCGCCGCCCCCGAAAGGTCTTCTGTTCCTCTGCTGCAGCCCCGACGACGTACAATCACCGTGCCTCTAGCCGAAAAAGCCCGACTCCAGCGGGGGGCGGGGGGGATAGCGAAGGGGGGCTACAGCAGCTGAAGGGTGGGAAAGGGTGGGATGGCGAAGGGTGGGATGGCGAAGGGGGGCGGGAGGGATGGCGAAGGGTGGGGGAGGAGTGAGGACCGCGAAGCGCGACGCGCGAATAACTTCCCGACCTCGTGGGCGCCCTGTCGCGGCCACCTCAAGCAGCCGTGGCCCGCGCGGCCTCCACGAGGATGTCGCGCTCGCTGTAAAGGCCATCCTTCTTGATCAAGCCTGCCACGACGACGACAACGGCGGATGCGACGGCGACGACGACGACGCGGGAAGGAGGGGGCGAGGGGGCGACGACGACGACGACGACGACGACGACGACGTGGGGGGCCCTCCAACGATCTCGCCCGCCCGCCCCGCCTTTGCCGTATCGCTCAGCAATGTTCAGCATAATCTCCTGCGCCTTCTCCGAGGTCACCTCGCCCCTCGCCACGACCTGGCGCACCTGGCCGCCCGCCTCCTTCAGCGCCACGATGTCGGGGCGGTCCTGCGCGATCGGAGGCGCTATCGGAGGCGCGACCGGAGCGCGGCCGCGGGAGCGGCGAGCGCGATTGGGGGAAGGGAAGACGCACGCAAGGGGAGGGTGAGAGACGGGATCACGGGAATGGGGAGGGGGAGGGGCAGGCCGACCAATCTGGCGCGCGCGCGTCGGGCGACGGAGACGGCGACGAGAGATGACGTTTCCAATGAAACCCGAACGAACTGCCAACGACCTCAAATGAACCAGAGAGCGGCCCGCGGGCTGCGGCGGATCGGTCCTTCTGCTTGGGCGGCAGCGCAGCGAGGGTCCCCCCGTCGGGCCCGAACCCCGTCCATATGGCCTTGCCCTTCGTGGCCGTTGCGATCTCAGCTTTCGCCTGCCCCGCCCTGTGCGCGCCTCTCTCGCCCGCTCGCACTCGCGCCCCGTCCCATCGACCATCCCTCCGATATATCTCGCCTCTTCCCGCCCGCCCCTGCTTGCCCATCCCTGCCTTCCACCCTCCCCCTCGTTCTTAACCCTTCCCTGTATCTCCCTCCCTCCCTCTATCCCCCCTGCGATCCCCGCTCTTCTCGATTGATGCGCGGGCGAACCTGCTGCCGCATGCGTCCGCGGCCCCTGCCCCCCCCCCCCCCAGGCCCCTCCTTCATCAGCTCTGGTAAGTAGTCGCTAGCCTTCAGCTGCTCTATCTTGAAAATGCCCGTGCTGAACGTGGCCCACATCTCGTCCGAATCTGCCCTAGGTACCCAGGTATCCGAATACTCTGGTGGGCCGAACTTTTTCCTGCCAGCTTGTACTCTGAGGCTCGCTTGTTTCCTCTGGTTGTCGAAGCCGACCTTGTGGATGCTTTCGTCCGTTATGACCTCGCCTGCCGTGGGCGTCGGTGTCGGCATCTTCGGTTTCGGCGTGGGCACGTCTTCGGGGTTCTCCGTCGCTGTCGGTGTCGGCATCTTCGCTTTCGGCGTCTCCGATGGTTTAGGCGCCGCTTTTGGTTTCTCAGTCCCTGGCACTTGTGAACCCCTTTCTTTCGTCGGCACCGCTTATGGTTTCTCGATCTCCGGCACTGGTGGCATCGCTTTTGGTTTCTCGGTCTCTGGCGGCGGCACTGGCGGCTTCGAGTAGCGCCTCTCCATGAAGCCAACGGGGATGGCGTTGCTGACGCTTGCTTTGGGTTGGATGGTCGCAGGCGAAGTCGCGGCTGTGTGGTACTCCTGATTTGACGGCTTTCGGCGACTGCCTCTCATTAATTGTGATGTGAGTGATGCTTTTCTCCTCCGTGGTGCCCGTGGTGCTGCCCTCGTCCGACGCTGCATCAGTGCTCTCAGCTGCTGGCCTCTTCAAAGTCATTCTCACTTTCATTGCGGGCTTTCCAAGTGTAACTGGACTCGTTGCTGGCTTCTTCGAAACAGGCTCCTCGTCGCTATCGTCATCCCAGGCTGCCGCTGCTGGCCGCTTTCGTGCTGCACTGCCGTCATCATCCTCGGGTTCGTCTCCTTCCTCTGCATCGCCAGTTTGCTCGCCTCCCTCTGCCGCCCCGCCCTCGCCCTCTGGCTCGTCTTCCTCCTCGTCCTCGACGGTCGCCAGCAGCTTGTTCACCCACTGGAGCTGCTTTCGCCCTCCCCTGCCCATGGCCCTGGCAACGCCCCCCAGCGCGCGAGGCTCGCCCTACCCCGTAATATTCCGGTCGGTCCCCCGTGTCCCAGGGAGGTTCTCGGGGAGCTCATTGGGGTTCATTGGGGGTTCATTGGGGGTTCATTGGGGCGCTCATCGCACATGCCCTCGCACCCTCCTCCCTCCTTTCCTGTTCCTGATGGTTCTTTCCCCTCAATC